AACCACAAAACAATGAAATCTTGCCATTTGCAATGACCAGGATGGAGCCCGAGAGTAGTATGCTAAGCAAAATCAGAGAAAGACAAATACCATAATACTTTACTCATGTAGAATTTATAAAACAACAAATGAGCAAAGGGAGAAAAAAAAGGGAGAGACAAACCAAGAAACAGGCTCTTAACTGCAGAGAACAAACAGATGGTTACCAGAGAGGACGTGAGTGGTGGGAGGGGTGAAATAGGTGATGGGGATGAAGGAGTGCCCTTGTCATGATGAGCACGGGGTGAGTATGGAATTGGTGAATCACTATATTGTACAACTTAAACTAATATAACACTGAATGGTAATATTACTGGAATTAAAATAAAACTTAATGAAAAAACACACCAGATTTTAATTATATCAAGAAACATCGTTTAATAAACAGCTGACCTTTCCTTCAGTTTTTAAAAATAAATGAACATGTTTTTGTTGTATATTTTTGTTCTAAAGCCTTTCCGACAAACCTGGTATTGATGATTCATGGCCTACATCAGATAGCGAAGACTTAGATTTTGGTACCAAGGTAAAGTACTCTCTTGTGAAACTCACTTCCCTGCTCTGAATTTAGTTTTCTCTATTATTTACTCTTAAAATTTAACAGTAGCCTTTTTGTCATCATTTTATGTTTGTAATGGAAAGTTAGCAAGAACAAACCACTTTACAGATACATGACACATTGAATTTTTTGTTTGTTTTGTTTTACTTTGGTAAATAGTAGAGGTGGAGGCTGATAAAAGAATGGGCTGGAGGGGCGCCTGGGTGGCGCAGTCGGTTAAGCGTCCGACTTCAGCCAGGTCACGATCTCGCGGTCCGTGAGTTCGAGCCCCGCGTCGGGCTCTGGGCTGGTGGCTCGGAGCCTGTTTCCGATTCTGTGTCTCCCTCTCTCTCTGCCCCTCCCCCGTTCATGCTCTGTCTCTCTCTGTCCCAAAAATAAATAAAAACGTTGAAAAAAAATTTTTTTAAAAAAAGAAAAAAAAAAAAAAAAAA